TCAATCAATCAATCAATCAATCAATCAATCAATCAAACAAATCTATCAAAAAAGAAAAAACACATTAAGCTTGGACAGAATAAGTATTTTAGCATCAAAAAATTACACACTTTGTCTTTAAATTTTATTTAAATTTCATTTGCCATTTTCTTATAAATAAATGTGTTTTTTCAAAACAGCAAGATCAAATAAATTGATTTGTTTTTTATTTTAGTCTTTCACAACAAAAATAAATAACCAACCAGCCAAACAAACAACCAACCAAATATGATTTTTGAGTTTTAAAAACACCACAAGGCCACAGTGTTTACACTTTCCAGGAAAATCAAGCTACAAATGGTTTACTTCTACAGTAGCTGTCTCTGCACATTAAGCTTGGAACGAATATGTATTTTAGCATCAAAAAAATTACACACTTCATCTTTAAGTCTCTTGTTCCACTGCCATTTTCTGAAGTATCTTTACAGTAAAACCCAAAATAAAGGCAATGTCACTTTTATGCCACCACAATGACATGTAGCACAGCGCTCGTCTCTCCCACCGACTGTCAAAACACTGAAAAACACTTTGCATGTCCAAGAATCACAAAGCCAAATCAAACTCACTCTGGATCCGCCTCAGGCAAAGCGGCCCCTGTGAACGTCTGTCAGTCCGGCAGAGCCGAGCAAAAAGAGTGCTTTTGTAGAGCACAGCTTTAGTAAAGCAGAAAGGAACTCACCCAGCGGCTGTCCTGCGATGATCCTGGTGTTCTCTCCTGCCACGGCCGCCCGTGCGTTCCTTTCACTGATGTACTGGACGAAAGCGTAACCCTTGTGCACCGAACAGCCCACGATCTTGCCGTACTTGGCGAAGATGACCTCGATGTCGGTCTTCTTCACAATAGCGGTGTTGAGGTTGCCGATAAAGACCCGTGAGTTGAGGGAGCGCGGGTCGTTCTTGTTAGTGACATTGCTGGTCTGACACTTCCCGGTCATTCTTCTCCTGGAAAGCAGAGACATGATGGGAACGACATCAACCACGCCTCATATAGGGAATGTGTGTGTAGCATTTAAAGGTTTTTTTCATTGTATAAATGTTGAAATGTTTAATAATATAGATTTTTATATGGATCCCTTTTGGAAATGGAACCATATTTCTACCAAACAATTTTAGCATGCCATTGCGGTCAGGCTTGAAAAATACTCTTGTCATTTTCCTCTGATTTGGGTACCATGACATCAATATTTACCATATTTAAAGGGATAGTTCACCCAAAAATGAAGATTCTGTCATCATTTACTAAGTTTTTCCAAACCTATGAGTTTCTTTACACTGTTGAGCACAAAGGAAGATATTTTGAAGCATGTTGGTAAGCAAACCAGCCATAGTATGGAAAAAAAAAATACTATGGAAATCACTTGCTGCCGTCAACTGATGGGTTACCAATATTCTTTTGTGTTTAGAAGAAGAAAGAAGATCATGCATGTTTGGAACAACATGAAGGTGAGTAAATGATGACAGAATTTTCATTTTTGAGTGAACTATCCCTTTAATAATATATAATAAAACTTTCTGATCATACTGAGAATGATTTATCAGTGATGTTATTGCAAAGATTTTTGCCAGATTTTTGTCTTTGTATACTTAATATGTCGCCAACTCTTATTTTTCAACCACTTCTCTCCAACTACCTCTGATATACACTAGAAACCACTTTCATGGTCCAATCACATCCAGATTATAGTGCAAAATCAAGTACCGCTCAACATTTTATAATTGTTGTAAACCCTGTTTCACTTAAAAAAGAAAAAAAAAACTGACTGCAAATTTTGGCTTGTTTTTAGGAAAGTTCACGGCCAGCAAAGGAACATCTCCCACTTGGCTCAATGATGTCGTTTGGATATCATGTATGATGGAAAATTGAAATACTGTATCTATATGACAGAAAAGTTGGTGATCTGGTACAAAAAAATACAATAAACATTCCTAAACTGTTCAAAAGTACAAATTACATTTCCTCTATCCAAAATTGCTTTCTCCAGTGGAAAAGTCATCTTGTCTGAACTAGGAGAGAAAGAAACACAGATCAAGCACTGTTTACAAACAAAAACAGCCCAAAACAAATAAGTTTAAACAAATATGTCATTGGTTTTTGATGTGAGAGGACAACAGGGGATGGACTTTTTCACTGGAGGAAGCGTTGTTATGGATTATGGACTCATATTTTGACCAGAAGCAATGGCTTAAAGTTAAAAATATCTTAATGATAGATTTGTTTCTTACAAACGTGCAGCTTTTCACTTCACAAGACATTCATTGATGGACTGGAGTGGTGTGGATTACTTGTGGAGCTGTTAGGACTCTCATTCTGACGGCACCCATTCACTACAGAGGATCCACTGGTGAGCAAGTGATGCAATGCTACCTTTCTCCAAATCTGTTCTGATGAAGAAAACTCATCTACATCTTGGATGGCCACCGAAAAGTGGAACAAACTTCCAAAAAAAACTCTCTAAAAGCACTTGCAGTGTATTCTACGTCCCTGACTCGACCTTCATATTTTACCATCATAAAGATTTTAGGATAAGACACTGTATTGTTTCCTTATCATGATAAAAGAACAGCTATTGGAGTGATAACAATAATTAAACTGCTGTTTTATGGTATATAGCCTACAGACTTGTTCCTACTGATTCTTTGAAAAGATTGTGTCAGCGACAGCACTGGCATTTTTAACATCCACACCGCCCAGCACACTGAATATGTGAGAATATGAGTGAGCGCTGGTGTGTGTACGTGAGAGATGCATTTGTTTATTTGTGTTTGTGTCTATAAATCTGCGAGAATATGAGCAATCTTTGCAAGCGTGCTGGTGTGAAGGCGAGAAAGCGAGTGGCGCGCGGCTGAGAGAGAGTAAATGAAGGCCTCAGGTTTATGCAGTCTCCGTATTATTCAGTGAACACACAGTCAGTCAGTCTTCACATCAGAGAACAGAACAGCAGCGAGATCCTCCCACTGGGTGTCATCCAACTCCCCTTCCCGCACACACACATTCAGAGACAGTGACTGCTATTGTCTGAGACAGAGCTGCATTATGTTCTGTCTCTCACGCTGTCAACGACCTACTCTCACAAGACAGCAAGAATGAACACGCAGCTCCACGGAGACACTAGTGAGAATCAAAGGCACTGACCGAATACGACGCATCGAGTTGCCCAAATATATACTTGGTATTTGTTGAGCTGCAGGAGTGTTGAGTTTCGCCGCTGATGGGTCGTTCACACTGACAGTGATTTTAATCTCTGGAGGTCGACAGGTCACAAGTAGGCATTACTATTTATGGATGCCATAATGCTACTGGTGGGCTGCGTAAGCATAGCTTTCGCAAATCTGATTTATTTTTGGCAAAAACTGATAGAAATTAACATTATGCAAGGAAAAGTGTTTGTACATAAATTGTGAAAATGAATGACTTCTGGTTGCTGCAAACATTCTTTTGCAATAAACAGTAGATACTTATGGAAACCCATTTCTGCCACTGAATATATATA